ACGCGCAGCTGAAGCGCATGGCCCAAGACCTCAAGGACATCATCGAGCACCTGAACACGTCTGGAGGTCCCGCCGACACCAGCGACCCCCTGCAGCAGATCTGCAAGATCCTCAACGCGCACATGGACTCGCTGCAGTGGATCGACCAGAACTCGGCCCTGCTGCAGAGGAAGGTGGAGGAGGTGACCAAGGTGTGCGAGGGGCGTCGCAAAGAGCAGGAGCGCAGCTTCCGGATCACGTTCGACTGAGCTGCCGGCCGTCTTCAGGGCCCGTGGGTTCCGAGGGTGTTGGGGGCAGTGGGCGCCGCGTAATTATTGTCTGGTTTTTGGTTGCAGTGAATACTTGTTTGCTCCTTTCTTCCAAACGACTGTGCTGTTGAGAACAGTTCTGTGGTCTGGCATTTTGCATTAGTAAAAAGAGAAATATTCCAAGCACTCTGGCCCTGACAGCAGCCTAGTGGGTGTGGTTTCTTTTGTGTATCTTTTGCGTATCCCAGACCCCATCACCTACAACAGCCACCCTCCCCATCCTTCTTGGCTCCAGCCAGGTGCTGGAGAAGTGCTGATTCGCACAAACACCATCCGTCTCCCAGCCAGGGTCCGCTAAGCGGCCACTTGTCCAACACATAGTCGTAGGTGCAGTGAAAAGTCTCCGTCTTTGAGGAGACAGCATCCTCGTATGAGGTGTGTGCGTGTGGAAATTCACCACCAGTGCAAAGAAGGGACTTGTGAATAGAACCGACCGTGGGATGTAGAATTTCAAAGGAGGAAGGACAGGTCAGATGAGGGACTTAAATGAGGTGTTGAGAAAAGGGTCAGACTCGAACCGGGAGGTCTTCACTTTGCCTGGCTGACATGCCTCCTGTTTGTCCAGGTCTCCTTATCTTAGGCCTCACCTCCTCCAGGAAGCCCTCTAGGCCACCCCAAAAGCTGGGTCAGATGGCTGTCCTGTGGTCCCTGCACCACACTGAGCTCACACCTTTGATAACACTCGCCACACGATCTTAGGCCAATACGTCACTGCCTCACCATAAGAGTGTGAGCCCCTGCGGGCAAGGAGCGTTCCTTATTCCCTTTTGTGACCTCAGCACCATCCCTCACATTTGCGAATGAATGAACAACAGAGATAAAAAAAACAGCATAAAATGTTCATCCACGAAATGGCCACAGGTGCCAGAGGCGGCCACAGACTTGGTTCTGAACTTGACCAACGCTAAAGCAAACCTAGTTAGTTACAGTGAGATCCAGTGTCCAGAAGAACAGAAGGCAACCAGTTGTATCCCAAGTGTCTTTTGTATTTGTCTTTACAGTTCGCTGCACTGTCTGAAATACCTGTGACTGTATGTTGCTTTCCTAAATAAAATTTATTGTGGAACAAAAAAGATGCCATTAACGTGGATAACTTAGAAGGCTGGGTAAAAAGAGCAGGTTCCAGGTAAAAACCGCATGAAGTGGCCGTTTGTCTGGGACTCAGAAACCAGCAGAACTAGACGACGCATTTAGGCCCGCCTCTGTGCCAAAACGCAAGTGGTATGTTCCTCTGGTGCTGACGGCAGAGGAGGGACACATGGGAGAGTGTGTGCAGGTGACGTTCTAGGTTATATCTTAGATACACATCAACGTCCAGTCCTTTGCCGTCGTCCCGAAGGCGGTAGCTCCGCAGCAGCGGGTGCCGTGGGCAGCGTCCCTCTCCATTACCTGGGGCCGGAGGGTGCTTGTTGTGCTTCAGAGGTGGAAAGCAGGGAAAGCTGGGATGCGGATTTGTTCAGGTCATTTCCACATGCCCAACATTGTGCCTCTTGTCCCCAGCTCCCGTAGGCGAGAATGACGCCCAGCAGTTGGATCTGATCTCCTGCTGCGGGGTGGAGAGTCTGTCCCTCCGGCCTTTGCCTCGCTGAGCCTGCTTTTTGCTAAGGAATGCCCCAAGCTTATTCCTGGAGACCTGTGGTCCAGTTGCCCAAAGTCATGACCATAAGTCGTTTCACCATCTTTGGCTTCCCAGAACAAGTGTCTTGCAAAAGCCACAGCAGAGGGAGAAGGGAGCCCCCAGACTAAACCACTTGATTCTCTCTAAAAGCTCCCCACCACCTTCCTGGGAAGTTGGCCTTCAGAGCCTCTGCGACCCGTATCTGACCCCCTCTCCCTGAAGGGGGAGGTGGGATGGGGCAGCCTCAAGTCCCCCTAGAAAGTAGGAAGTAGTTCGTATTTTATACACATTTATTCATTCAACACCCATTTTTGGAGCACCTGCTAAATAGCTGGCCTGGCATCGGGGTCACAAAAATGGGACAGTGTTTCTGCCCACACACAGGTTGCTGGCAGGGGCCAGACAGTCGTGCTAAGATTTCCCCTGAGCTTGCATTTCAAATGTATATCATTTGCCTGTTTTGCATATTAAACGCTCATAAAACTTAATTGCTTTCATATAGCTGTATTTTTTAATTTTTTTTTTT